ATGGCCCAATGCAAAGGCCTGTGGATATGCTCTGAGCCAAGCCTGTTCCAACCAAAAGGCAGGTGAGACGTGACTGCTATAGTAGCATACACATAGGCTGTGCTTCAGTAGTTGGCTTCTGCAACAAAGAACATGCCCTGGCCCATTTGACTGATTAGTCCACATGCACTTGTCAGCACAGATGTACTGTGGCTCTCAAGGACAGTAAGCTGGAAGTAGGATCACTTTGCTCGCCCCCTCCTTGACATTCCCACACATTTCTGCAAAGCTGATTGCCTCCCTCTGTTATGCCTTCATGTGCACAACCTGTCAATGATTGACTAGACAGCTGCCTGTTAGGAAATAGCTTATGCCCAGCAAGGCATCAAGAAGAAATATAATCCTACTGTCTTTGAGCACCTCCTGTTTTGACATTATCAGTACGATACCAATAAACACACACACAGATTTCTTTTAAGGTTTCTTGTTTCAAATCTCGATATCCACTTTCATCTCATTCATATGTGTGTAGTTTTCCGCAACAAATCCCTTGGCAGAGAGGCCTGGAGGTGGACAGCATGTGCCAGCCAGAGCAGTGTTGGTTGCTGCAAGGACAAAGGGTAGAACTACATCTTTGGTGTCAGTCTGGTGCTCAGATTTGTTTATTTTTATGACAGATTGTGGGTGATTCCCCTTGCCCCCTCCCCCCCCCACCCCTGCCCAAACTGAAGAAGCTCCATTCTGCCATCACAAGCTTTTGCGCTTTTACAATGGCAACCTGTTACCACCAGCAGGCTTCTTCTTGCCTTCAGGCGGAGAATTCCCCAAGATAGCATATAACCCCCTGGACGTGACCCAGCCCTTCACTGAGGGCAGAGAGGACTGTTACTCTCCCTGCCTGTTCAGTGCCCAAAATCCAAATCTGCCCTGTTGCTGCGGAGCTATGCCACCTCGCTTCCACATCCAGACACCTCAGTGCTGAACTCTCCCATGTTGGTCCCTCTCCCTCTGTTAGTGTGAGATTGTACACCTCCTCTTGCAAGTTGTTTCTCTGGGTTTGTGTATGCCAGAGAATCTTGCTTTTTCCCCTCTTAGTTTGCAAACTGGAAACTGGGACTTGTAGTAGCAGATAGCGTATTGCAGTAAAGTGATCTTGCCCTTGTCCAAAGGGTGCTACTGTCCCCAAGTGTTCAGATTAGTGATAAAACACAGTATTTCTTTGACATCTCCTATTTGACGTAATCAATCCAGACTTCCCAGGTTCTTTCTTCCTTACTCATTTTGAAAGGAATTCATCTTATCTTTTCAGCTTTGCTGAGCTGCCTTCCCACTGGTCATGAGCACACAGCTCTCTGTTGCAGACAGTCATAGGCCGTGAGGCTTCAATGCATTATTTCTGTGGCAATCTTTGCCAGCCTCAACCAGGTTTATTGTCTCCAACAGCTGCTTGTGTCATGTGTGATCACCAGTCAATCAGGCCCTGTTCCCCCAGTACCCTTTTGACATGAGAAGGTATATCACTGCCTGCACAGAGCCAGATGCCTGGTAAGTTATGGTTCAATAGAAGTAGAATTGGTACAGTAAAGTCAAGCTAATGGACAATGAGCTTTAACAGGTCCAAGAAAAGGCCAGAAAAGCCACCAGAAAGAGTACTGAAAGAGGTAAGGAAGTCCAGATGTTTTAAAGGTGTACGTGAGCATGACAAATTCATGTAAAGACATCAAAAATCAAAGCTGTTAACCAAATCAAGCTATTGCTCCAAGCAGGATTTGCTGTTTAACTTCCTGCTTCTACTCATGTATTACACCAGAGCTCATGTTACACTGAGCATAGCACATAACATTGCCTCTCCTTTTGTAGCTCGCTTGATTTAGCTGAATTAAGAGGATTATCAGCGGCAAAGAGTTCAGAGTGACGCAGTGGCCTTTGCCTCAGTGAATAGTTTCTGAATTGCCATTTTTGTGAGCTTTTAGAATCAGCTGCCTGTCTCTGACCTTGTCTGAGTCCACCAACCTCCATGTGTTCTCCTGTCTCATTTGCACCACTCCCCATGCTGGGGAAGGACCACCTTCAGGGCAAACACAGATGTTGTGGACTTTTCTCATCTGTATAACTGGTACTAGACTGCCTGGTGATGCCGAGGCTGTCTCCAAACCTGGACTGGTGTGGATACCTGGGAGGAAAACACATTGAGACCATCTCCTGAGGACCTGGCAGAAGAGACTAAATTGGCCACAGGGTTTTCAGGACTGTGTGCAAGCACTTGGGTTATCCTGGTTAAGCTCCTGATTGGTGTTGACGTTTGGATAAAAGGGATCCTGGTCCTTGCTTTGTACCTGGAGAACCAGAGGCCTGCAGTGGGCTACAGCTAGCGGTGGTATGCTCATCTCTGGTCAACCAGGTTCAGACAGGAGGAGAATGAGCATGTCTATGCAAGTCATGAGGGCAGGTGGGAGTGTATGCTAGTAATACAGTCATTGCTCAAGGGTCCCATCTGTTTTCTCCACAGTGTAGTGATGGGATCATTGTACTGTTGGCCAGATATGGACCATAAAGCATCAAAAACACACCTCAGCCAGAGAGCAATGGAGGAGACAGTGGGAGCAGTGGAAAGATGCCCAGGGGGTCTGGGAGATTGGCTTTTCCAGACCTCTGCAGGCTTTCAAAATCCTGGTGACAGCTTGTAAGGGGGGAATTTAGGCCTGCCAGCTGCTCTGGGAGATGCTTGCCTGAATTTCTGAGTCACAGATGAGACTGGATGCACTTTGCAGTTATCTCCCAGAATTTGAAACCAGTTCCCATTGCTACTAGAAGACCTGACAAAGCCATGCACAAATATCATGTGTATTCCATGTTTTCCATCTTTCTGTTATGTGTGGCAGCAATAGCTTCTGCACGTCCCCTCCCAGAATTGCTGCTTTCCCAAGGTGCCCATTTTGATTCCCTGGTCCCTGCTGCACTATCCCTGGAGAAAGAGCAGAGCTGGGTGCCATGATATATGGTCCTGAGGGGGGCACTAGACTATCAGTTATTACCTAGCAAACAGTGTCCAGGCCTTTGCTGGTTCCCTGCAACAGCTTCTCCCCCCCACAGACTGCTCAGTAACATAAAACCAATGTTAGAAAGTATTTGGGAAGGAACATGACAGAGGACAGAAGACATCACAATCTATCCCATGCTGTACCCACATCTGGAATACTGCATGCTGCTCTGGCTTCCCTCTCTCAAAAGGACAGAGCAGAATGAGGGAGGAGTGTTTGGAAGGGATGGGATGGGGCTTCGCTGAGCAGATATACAGACCGGCCTTTGGAAAGCAGAGACTGAGGATCTAGGTCTCTTCTGCTTGGGAAAAAGATGGAGAAAAGGACATTTGCAGCAATTTTGCCAAATCACACCACTTATAGGAAAGAGAGGTAGGAAATGCTTAGCTCACTTCTCAAAATGAAGTAATGTGTGGATACCCCAGGAAGGAGACCAGGCAAATAAGTTACAGCTACCCAGCAGCAGCCCATCTTCACATAGACCATAATTACATGGCCATGGAAACAAAAAAAGACTGGATAAAGGATGAGAGAAAGCCCTTCTCCCTCAAACCCTCCAGTGCTCATGGGGCAGCCCCTGCTTCATGCATTGCAGTCTCTCTTTCTGTAAGCTGACTCCATGATAGACTGCAGGAGACCTGCCTGTCCCCCAGGAAGTGCTACCAACTTTGGAATTAATAAACAAAATGGTTTCCTCATTAATGAGCCTGCAAATGGTTTTCCAGTTTTCCCTGTACCAGATACAACCTCAAGTTTACCCTTGAAGTGTCTGCCTTGATAGAGAAATCTGCAGAGCTGGGACCTCATCCAGGAACATCACTGGAAAGTGTATGTGCATGAACACATGAGTGGAGACACTTGGGGAGAGAAGAGACAAAACTCCTGTCTTGTAACACTGCTCTTTTTCCTAGCAGACCCATGAGAGAAAAAGGAATACAAATAATTTGGGGATAACACCCTCTGCACCCTCAGGGCTAAGAGCAGAGGCACCTCCTCGGCAGGATGATGGCCACGCCCCCTGGGAGAGGAGATCTGAAATTCACTATCCATTAGAGGCAGAAAGAACTCTGAGGAGTTCTATCAGAGGACTAGCAAAGACCCTTACACTAACTTTAAAAGTTAATAGGAGAAGAAGAGGAAGGCCCAGACAGTGCTACTTACTGCTCAGAGACACAGGTTTATTGATTACATGGACACAGTGCATTGCAGCAGCAGCAGAGGGACCTGCTGCCAGGATCCTGGCACAATGCTGGACTGGTGTCTCACCAGGACACTACTTTCCCTTCCCAGTCCAGGAAAGTCCCGGTATCCTTCTCGGACAGGGTGGAGAGCACATTCAGCATCCCTTGAACGCTCATATCCACTGTCAGTGGGGGCTGCAGGGACAGAGAAGAAATACAACTGTGTTCCCAAGGCCTTCTGAAGGTCTGACCTGGTTCCTGCCTGGGCCACTCTCTGGGGTAAGTGGGGTGAGGAGACACCAGCACTTTGCAAAAAGAGTCCCTGTCTGTCATCTCCTTCTCTCCTGTGCCTCAAGCTCAGGGCATTGTCCAGACAGCTCCACTAGAGCCCACCGGGTCTTAGGATGTTCGGTACACAGGACTCTCTGGGCTCCTGAATGATGAGGTTCTTCTGGACCTGACTCAGAAAAAATCCTACCTTGTGTTCCGCTGTGCTCCCCATGTCTGTTTGCACCCATCCAGGGTGGAGAGCAGCACAGAGGATGCCATGTTCCCGGTACCCCAAGGACTGGCACTTGGTGAGCATGTTCAGAGCCGCCTGCAGAGAGACACCACAAGGATCACGGTGGGGAGGAGAAAGGTCCCCTCCTGCAGGAAACATGTGCAGACCCCAAGGCAGGGGCAGAGGAGGGTAGGTGAGGAGAGCTCCCTGGGATACATAGTGCTGCCACAGTCTCCATGCACAGACACCCAGACCAGCTGAAGGCTGGTCCCTGCATGGCCCTCTGAGAAGGATGCCGGGAACTGGGATACAGCATCTCCCGGCAGGAACAGAAAGGGGCCCAAGAGCCATGAGAGGGAGAAAGGGACTCCCAAGAACTGCTGCAAGTGGAGAGAGGTAGAGGGAGGGAGGGAAGTCACAAGAGAGTTTGGAGGGAATTTTGAAGAGAAAAAATGTGTGGGGTCATGCTCAGCACAGCATGGCAGTACCTTGCTGCAGCGGTATGCGATACATTGCCCATAATCCCACACAAAGACTTCTTCAATGGAGCCAGCAGAGCTGGACATGTTGATGATGGCTGCCTTGCTGCAGCTCAACTCAGAACCCGGGCTCCCCTGGGCAGCCTTCTTCAGCAAGGGGAGGTTTCCTGTGAGGAGAGGAAAGAAGGGCCCACGCAGATGTGGTTCAGGAGAGAGGACCTGCTCCTTCCACAGTGCGCCACGTCAGCACCAAGTCAGTGAGCAGATTCCTGCTCTCGTGGCCTCAGACCACCAGGTTCCTCCTCCTTGGCACTGGCCCATGGCTCCATGCACTCCCCATCTGAGCTGGAGAATGCCGGGACAAGAGACCATTGGGCACCAGAGCAGAGACCAGGCCCTGCCCTTCAGCCCTTTCCAGCTGCCTGGAATGTCCCGGCTTGGGGAGCTGGGGCCGAGAGGAAGGGATGTTCCCTGGAGCTGAGCTGCAGTGCCACAGGTGGGGGTCCTCACCTGGCTCACCAGCAGGGGCCCAATCGTGTTGGTGGTGTAAATCTGGGACATGCTCTCCAGCGTCTCAGTATCTAAAAAGCTCAACTTTGCAATCCCAGCATTGTTGATGAGGAGGTTCAGCCCAGAGCCCTTCAGGTGCTCCCCGACTCTGGCTGCAGCTGCCTGGATGCTGGCGGGGTCGGTGACTTCTACAGAGCCAACACAGGGGGAGGTAAGCGCCCACTTCCCCTTTGTGGCTCCTATCACGCCTGATCCAGGGGACAGGAGCCTCGTCTGCCCTCGGGGAAGTGCTGGGGCAGAAATCGGGGCAACTGGAGGAAATAGTCCCAGAGGAGAGAGGAGCCCAGGGCCACAGGGCCACTGCCAGGCAGGGAGGCAGGGTCCCAGCATAGCTGGAGACAGGCCGTGGGCAGGAGTGACAGCAGCAAGCCTGTTTCCCCCACAATGTGCTGGGACTGGCACGTTGGCACAGCTCCCACCTCGCACTGGGGTGTACACAGCATCCCAGGCAAGTAGCAGGGCTGTGGGAGGAGACAGTGCTGGTTAAAGAGGGGAGCCTGGGCAAGGGACCCTCACCCCTAGGGCACAGCCAGGAGCACCTACCAAGCGGCATGATGACCAGGTTGGGGTACTTGGAGGCCAAATGCTGTAACTCCTGCAAGAGAGGGAACAACATGGGCACAGAGAGTCAGGGACGGCTGGACAGAGGGCAGCTCTCAGCCTCTCCCAGGCACAGACC